ATTACAGCATTTATTTAACTTTGTATCGAGACCTGAAGATGCTTTGCATATTGTAGAAAGCTTAACCGGTCGTCTGATAGTTAAATTAAATTGATTGTGAGTAAGTCTTATTTATTATTTCTTTGCCTATTTGAAATGGACTCACACAAGCAACACATTCATGATATAGGTACTATTTTTTCTTCAAACGTAGCAATTTTCAACCATAAATAGTACAATTTATACCCTATTTTTACTCAAAATTAACTGTGACAACTATCAAAGTCGTCTAGATGTTAGAAATTAAAATAATTAAGTCGTCGGTGGGATTTGCGTCTCCCTGGTTACAGTTGTTTGACAGTTGTTTGCAATTATTAAAGACAGCTTATTGTTGTTGCAACCGCAAGCGCAAATTTAGTGCGAAAATGGAAAATCTAAACGAAATTGAGTCCGCGGCTAATAATGCAGTAGCACGTTTGGGGCCCTCCAAGTCCGGAATAAAGTATCGGTTAGCGTACAAGCACTTCCAAGAGTGGTGCGATACAAGAGGAGTACTGCAAGTTTCCGAAGACGTTTTACTGGCATATTTTAATATAATGAAAAATGAAAATAAATGGAAATCTTCTACAATGTGGTCACGATACTCTATGATAAAATCCGATTTAATTATTAGAAAAAATGTGAATATAAGCAAATTTTTAAAGTTACGTGCCTTTCTGAAAAAAACAAGCGAAGGATATACTGCAAAGAAGTCTAAAGTTTTCACTTAAGACGAGTTTGATAAATTTTTGTTTGAAGCGCCAAATAAGTTGTATTTAGTATTAAAGGTAAAAAAAATTATATTGCAAAGCATGTAGTATACTCTACTAAATTATAAAAATATTTCAGATTGTTTTGTTAATTGGGGTTACCGGCGCCTGTCGATGCGACGAAATGGTAAAAATGAAGACTGTGGACATTGAGGATAAGGAAAATGTAATAGTTATCAAAATTCCAGACAGTAAAACACGACAAATTAGATCTTTTACGATAATTGGTCAAAACTACATTAAACTGTATAAAAAGTATGCATCACTGCGGCCTGAAAATTTCACAGAAAACCGATTTTTTATCAAGTACCAAAATGGAAAGTGTTACTGAAGCGTCATGGGAATACATTCGATCAGCGCAGTAGCCCAAAAAGTAGCTAGTTATTTAAATTAAAACGATGCAAGCGCATACACGGATCACTCTTTACAACGAACTTCAGCAACACTTTTAATTGATGAAGGCGGAAATCTAGAATGCTTCAAACGACATGGGGGTTCAAATCAAGCACGGTTGCCAAAGGATATATAGATAAGAAATAAAAACGATAATGCTCAAAAAATTTAAAACCCTCATGATTCGGCAACATCGGGAATGATTGCTGAAAGTTGTTCTCGACCATCAGTATCATTAACAATTACCAATGCGTATCAAGAGTCGGGAACACTTTTGAACGGTTTCACGGATTTGGAAAATGCCTCATTAACTAATTGTACTTTTATTATTACTATAAATAAAAATGATGTGTAATTGTTGTTAATGACATTTGTATTGTTGCTTTGTGACATGTTTCAAATTGTTGCCATGACAACATTTTTTCCCTCCGCCGTAAAGAAATGGGAAAAAAACTGCTGCCGGCGGAGACATCAAACTTTGACAGGATCAAGTTAGATAAGTAATGTCATCATTATTTGAGGTTTGAAGAAAAAAATATATACCACATATATTTTATAAGACAGATGCCCTGTCAGTTTTATATAGTTAAAATCATAGATAAATAATATAATGTTATTTCAAAAACTATTTGTCTATCTTCTTCTTCTTCTTCTTTCTCCTTATAAGCAATTGTGCTTGATCATTGGAGGATTAATACCTCCATGAAAGGTTGTCACTCCATCCTTTGCGATTAATGACTTATATTTCGATATTTTGACGACACGGGTCTCTACCATGTTGCTTATGTAGTTCTATTTCATTCTATTTTTGTATTTAGTGTCCATTCGGTTATACACTATACGTTACATTTTCTTTTGTTGTCTTTACTCCTTTTTCGATCTCTCGTATTTCCAGTAACTCTTCTTACTACTTTCATCTCTGTCAATTCCAGTAGTCTGTCTTTGTGTTGTGGCTATGTCTTTCGGTCTGGTTTCTGAGTCATATGTCATTGGTCTTACATTACCTTTATAAATTCTTGACTTTATTTCAGTGTTAATGTATCTAACCCATATCGTATCTAAACCATACCCTTGGCTTGTATGATGAGTCCAATACCCTCTTTTCTATATGCTTCATGAAAAGATTGGCTATGACCGAGCTTAGTGGGCTTCCATTGCTACTCCATCTATCTCTTTATAAATCTGGTCTTCTCATGAAAAGTAGGTGGTAGCGAGGCAAATACGGTACAATTCCACCATTTCCTTGGAAATTAGTCCCTCAATTACATTCATGACGGCTTCTAGGAGAACTCTTGTAAATAGGTAAACAACATCAAAGGTAACAAAAATGTCAGATTCCTGTAAAGTTATTCCTGTGATCTTCTCGATAAAATTGGCGGAGTCTTTTACAGAGGCATCGGTTTTTCCTATATGTGGTTGTAAAATATCGGCCAGATGTTTAGCAAGGCTGTAAGACGAAGATCCTGTGGAACTTACTATAGGGCTTAGAGGTATATCATCTTTGTGTATTTTCGGTAAGCCATACAAGCGTGGTGGGACTGCTTCGCTGTTGCATATTCTTGGCTTTATATCCTCTGGTATGGACGAAGATTTTATAAGTCTATTGATTTTTCGTAGGGTGACTGCTGTGGGATCTTTTTTAAATTTTTAATATAATGCAGGATCTAGAAGATTTTGTATTTTCGTTTTGTAGTCGATTGTCTTTATATTGTCGATTTTTGTTTCCCTTGTCTGCCACTAAATACTTGTACATGGCGTACTTTACTCAAAACATTTACATTTAGATACACTGATGATGGAATATTAATTTCTAAAACGTTCTGTAATGTAGCCCGATAGGGTGTTGTAATTATGTACCTTTTGTAAAGGATTTTTAATTATTTTTTTATGATTTATTAAGGGATTATTTTAAAAAATAATTTTTTTTAAATAATCTTGTACACTTAGTAGTTATTGACTACAATAAGGCACAAATTTATATTTATAACTGTTTTCTCACTTAAGCACATATTAGGCGCAACACTACTTTTCTCCATGCAAACAGTATATATGCAATTAATTGATGTTCTTGGTTTACAGTCTCAGTAACTATTAACTGGTAACCATTTTGGTCACATAAACGGTATAAGTATAAAGGATGCATCCTTAATGCGAGGAATAACATCAAATTACACATTTATTATCATCATCATCATCAGTGGCATTACAGCTCTTTATGAGCCAAAGCCTTCTTCAGAACAATCCTCCATTCGCCCCTGTTTCTGGTAACTCTTCTCCATGCTCTAATTTCGATTGATTTCAAATCATTTTCAATTTTGTCTTGGTACCTAAGTCTCGGTCTTCCTCTTCTTCGTTGTCCGATCGGCCCTCTTCGGTCAAAAACTTTTCTGACTATGGCATCTTTTTCTCGTCTAATTACGTGACCTATCCATCTAAGGCGTACTACCTTATTGAATTTTACAACGTCAGGTTCTTCAAAACTTCTATACAACTCAAAATTGTAACACCTGCGCCACAAACCTTGTTCTTTTATGCTTCCATATATTCGTCTTAGTATTTTTTGCTCAAAACGTTTGAGCAATTCTTGCTCATTCTGTGTTAGTGTCCAAGTTTCTGAACCATATGTTAGCACTGGTCTTATTAGTGTTTTGTATACAGTCAGTTTAATTTTTCTAGGCATTGTTGAGGCCATTTGTCTTCTTAAGCCTTAGTAACACGTATTGGCGAGCACTATTCTTCTTTTAATTTCCTCACTGACGTTGTTATCTTTTGTTAGCAGCGACCCTAAGTATATGAAGGTGTCGACACCTTCCAGTTCTAGGTCATCAATTATTATTCGTGTAGGTGTCGGGTTGCTTGACCTAGTGCAACACATATATTTGGTCTTTTGAATATTTATATTTAGTCCCATTCTGTGTGCAGATGCTCTTAACGACCGAAATGCTTCAGTCAGAGATGCTGTGGACCTACCTATGATGTCTATGTCATCTGCGTATCCGACAGTTTGTACTGATTTGTTAAAGATAGTACCATTCATAGTAATCTGCGACTCTCGAATTATTTTTTCTAATGCCAGGTTAAATAAGAGACACGATAGTCCATCACCCTGTCTTGGTCCATTTTTGCAATAGAAGGGTCTTGAGAGATCGTTTTGGATTTTTACCATGCTCTCTGCACCTGTGAGTGTAAGTTCAGTTAACTAAACAAGATCAAACGGAATGCGAAATTCTATCATAGCAAGTAGAAGTTTATTTCTATTAACGGAGTCGTATGCGGCGTTGAAGTCAACAAATATGTGGTGGGTGACAACTTTAGGGTTTTTTTAGGGTTTTAGCAAGGATCTGCCTCACTGTAAATATGACATTTATTATAAGATATACGAAAAAACATATTATATAAAAGTTGTAACATAGGACCTAAAATATACAGGGCCAAACATATTAACAGGGTGAAACAAACTTTTTTTTTGAAATACCTTGTATATTTTTATATTTTTGGACTTGGGTAATTTCAAAGATAATCACGTTTTTTTAGTAATTTTTGTAACAATATTAACAACCTGCATTTCCATACCTAATTGCTTCAATTTGCGAGTTATTTGTAATTCTTTGCGCAATTCTCTAACACTAATTATTGTAACAACAACTAGGTAAAATTTTATTAGGTTGTCTGTGAAAATATTCAATCTAGAGAACATAAAAACTATACTATTTTTAAAGCCAATACTTTTGACGTATGAGTAAAACCTTTCTGTAATTTTATGCACATTTAAAATTAAAAGGAAAAATGCGTTATAATATAATCTGTTTCTATTTGCAGGGTCTAACGTTATTCCTAACCTACGCTATAATGGCGGCGGTGTTGGGGATGTTCCAGTTCGGGTACAATACGGGGGTGATCAATGCACCCCAGGGCAACATCGAAAACTTTATGAAGAGTCTGTACAAGGAACGATACAAGCAGGACTTGGCGAACGAAAAGGCCGAAATGCTGTATTCGATAGCTGTGTCGATATTTGCCATCGGCGGCATGTTGGGAGGCTTCGGAGGCGGAATGGTGGCAAACAAGTTTGGAAGGTAAGCCCGTTTTTTATTTAAACATTTCAAGACTTACATAGACCTTCAAAATTATAATGTAGAAAAATATGAAACGAAAGTAGCTGTAGCAAAAGTCAAAGAAGAAGTGTATAAAATTTTATACGATGAACATGATACCAAAGATGATAAAAAATAACAAAATAGTAAAACTTAGAACAAAGAACGCAATAGGTTTAAATATCATTTTTTATTATGTATTAAGTATTCATATAGTCTAAATAAAACCAGTTTATTAAAGTTCATTAGCAGTTATTCAAGTACTCCAACAGTTATCGAAACAATAAACTGTTGCTTAATATTGTTCTGAAGCTATTTTCTTGTGGGATTTTAAAGTAATTACTATAATAATGGGAATAAGCCACAATTGAAGCTTAAAATAAGTTTATTATTGTTGTAATTTTCACTTTGAAAATCGTTCTCAAAATACAATTATTATTAAATTTGTTAAGTATGTTTTTGTTATTTATGAAGTATCTTACTCCATTTCATTCCTTAAGTCCTTTCAAGGAGATATTTCACTTGGTCTTACCAATAGTACCATGCTCCCCAATCTTTAGCTAGGTGGCCAAAGTAATTTAGCTCTGCTCGGTTTACTTTTTTTAGTCGTCTTCCTTTTTATCAAGCTCTTCCAAAATTGACAAGTTGGTTCTATGTTCGGTACAGGACACGCGTATAATTATTTTAAAGACCCATATTTCAAAGGCTTTGATCTTACACCTATAGATTTTTTTGAGAGTCTACGTTTCAGCTGCGTATGTAGGAATATGAAAAATAAGGGCATTGACACTGAGCTTAGTATTCCGTGTTATTGTTCGGTCTTTCCACATTTTAATTAATTTATCTATTGCAGTTTAGACCACTGCTCGTCTACGCTTGATTTTTGAGAAGCAATCGACATTGTTGGTTATCAGGGAGCCCAAGTATATAAATATAACTACTTTCAATTCCACTTCCACTTCTAAACTTGGTGTATGTACGGTAGATTATTAGTTGCTCTATCTTCAATCAATATTTTGGTTTTTCCAATGTTGATCTGAAATCCGAATTTTTCGCTTACCCGGCTTATCCATTCGGTGATGGTAATAATTTAGACTTTATTCGCTGTTAGTATAAGTGTGTCATCTTTGTATAGCAGGTTACTGATCTTCTGCCTGATATAGTGAACTGCGACTGTGAATTGCCGTTCTGAAGAAGCCTATTAGGCCGAAATACGTATAAGCGAATATCCAGACGCCCTGTACCTAAAATCAAATCTTAACTGTCTTTTCATTTTTATATGCCATATATTTGAACTTTAACTAAGTTTTTGTCATACAGATCTCTTACTAAATTAACTAGGTCGTTAGGTACTCCTATATTTTTCAATATAACCGAGAAAGGTTCACATTTTATTAATTCGAAAACCTTTGTGTAATCTACGAAACCGAGCAACATTGGTATGTTGTATTTCCTCACTTTTTTTATTATCTACCTAATGTTCAGTATAGTGGAAGAATAGAAAGACGATGAAAAAATCCATTCTAGAGAGTAAGCCAATGTTGAAAATAAAAAACCTGTTTGATAATACAACTTCCAGATTTGTAGGTACTGGAAATTCTTTCACCGTTAATGATTTTTTTACTAATGTGGCTACACCGCCTGAAGAATTTTTTTTTTTTTTGTAAAAACAGTCGTATTGATTTGAGTTATATTTTTTTGGGGATTCAGATTAGTTTTCTGTAGGCATATTACATCAGGAGATTGTTCACCAATTAGATGTTGAAGTATAGCAGGGCAATGAAAAAATCGATCGATATTCCATTGAAAGAGAGACGTGAACCTTAATGTTGGCTTAATTCGAGTGTGTCCGTTAGAATTCCCAGTCCGATGCATCATTACCAACGTAATTAAAGATTTTTCTTCTTTTAGACGTGATTTTTTTGTTTTATGGATCTTTTCTTTAAAAGAATGTTAATTTGATCAAGCATATTGGTCAATGTTAGTAAGTCTATGGTATACTCTTAAATTATGCTTAATATGATCGATTGATCCAGTAATATTCATTAGTAGAATGTTTGGTTGATTAAAGATTAGAAGGTGGAGAGTGATTTTGTATAAATTTTTTTATCTGGTTAAATTGAGCAAGATACTGAGTAGTCAGAAGCGTTTTCAGAACCAACTTTAGTTTTAATTAGACTTAAGATGTTGGAAAATGTTACATTGTTTTGAAGATGGATATGTTTTTGGTGAAATAATTTCATCTACGTTTTGGTTGATTCATTATGTGATTTTTTCCATATTTTACTCGTATATTTTGATTGGTATTTCTATTTCTGATAGTTCTGAAGCTATTTTCTTGTGACATTTAAAATTAATTACTATTTAAATGAAAAAAAGCACAATTAAAGGTTGAAGTGCGTTTATTGACGTTTTAATTTCCTCTTCGGAAATCGTTCTCAAAATACAAACATTAGTAAATTAAACAATTTTTCCTGTAAATTAAACTATTTTTATATACCTTTTATAAAGGATTTTAAACAATTTCTTTTTTAAACAATTTTTGTTTTTTTGTTCCTTGTGAAAAATTCTTCAAACAATTTAATTTTATCCAACTCATTTATATTGACAATTTAGACATACATTATACATTTTAAAGTAGACGACTTTAAAATGATATTCCCAATATTGTTGAGTTGCACTCCTGGGACAACTTTACTTATAAGATAGTTCATTCGATTACATGAAATCAACTTTATCTTGAAAATATCCGTCAGAAAAAATCATAGCATGTAATTCGTCTTTAAAAAGACAAACACATGCCATGGTGACAGTAAAATTCTCCTGTTAGTGATTCTATAGCAAATTATGAAGAAAAAACCAGAAAAAAATACTATCCCGACATGGTAAGTATTTGGTCGTGCATTTAGTTTACCTTCAATAAACACCAAATTCTGATTTTATATGTTTGTTGTTTAAAAAGCATTAAATGATGTATCCTCTATATGTTACTGACTTACTAATACTGGTATTTTCTACTACCTATTGGGAAATTCCACAAGAAAATAGCTTCAGAACAATGTTAAATCGTTATTGCCCCAGCATTATTTAAAATTTTCGGAGATTGGAAATTCTAGAAATTCGGAGAAATCAAATTCTGATTTTAATCAAAATATTTGTAGTTTACATAATATATGAAAATTCATATAGAAAACAAAGAAATATACATTTAAATAAATTTAATGTTCGTTTAGAACAAAACAGTGTACACACTTCAGATAACCTCAATAGAAATGATGACATATTAGCGACAGTTGTCAATCTATCAAATAGACATTTAAGTGCATAGATAAATAATATAATAGTAGAAATAGATAGGCAACTCAATGTATAAATTTCGTTCATTAGGACCCCTTGCGGCAGGGGTCAATACTATTCATCTTTTGGCATCAAATTTGAATGAAACCCCTTACATACATACCCTTTAGCGCTTCTTGTGGGCTATTTTGTTAATAATTAAAATTTACTGGGAAATAAGGATATATAAAAGATGCACAATTTTTCTAGATATACGTATATTTATTTGTTGTTTAATATAAAACAGTTAAAACTAATTACATAATATTTATTACACATATTTTCAGAAACAAATATTAAATACTATTATTGTTTGCCTCCTGACAACTTACTATCATCATCGTTTTTGTAATTTTTCCATGATTTGTACACAACAGAACAATCAATACAATACAATTAATTCACCATGTTTCGTTTTATTACTAGCACCAACTAGCACAACACAAAAATTCGTTGCTACAATAGGTAACTTAAACTAAACTTTAAAAACTAAGTAACCAACTTAAATTAAAATTACTACTTGTAAACTTGTAAACAAACGGAAGATCTGTCATTACTTTTGACAGAATTGACATTGCGGAATTAAGCTTCGTTTAATTATTATATTGACAACCCGAGACAATGTTTAACGTTTATTAATTATATATGAGGTTGAATGAATTTCTCCTGTTTGTTTGTTCTAGACTGGTTAATGCGAGGAATAACTATTATAATACCAATTTCTTTCATTGGTTTGTCTCTTACAAGCGGGTTGTCATCCAAACTCATTTAAACTTTTAAATAGACCGCCCAATTATTTTGGTGGTACTTCTTCCTTGTTGCTCTGTCAAATTTTTGACGTCAAGGTTGGCTGTCTTTTCACGGTTTAGTTCGGTATGTTTCCCCATGTTTGCCATTTTCCCGGCAGCAGCTGTAAGGCTTTGATCGGTAACTTCATTTACACTACTCTTTAAAATAATTTTTTATTAACATCACTTTAATAATGCTACCTAAAGTTAAAATCAAAGCTAAATAATTATCAAATAGTTGAAAGTAAATCTATGATTTTCTTGGTTCTTTTTCACTACTTAAGATAAAATAAAATATGACTTATACTTTAGATCACATGGTTAGTTGCTGTGCTAATTTTTTATTAAGTTGCTAAATGTTGTTAGTTAATTGATTGTTTATGCAATACTACCGTATAATGTCCACTTACTTGAGTTTTATGCACAAACTTGTTAATATCTTTGACTGCTACATGTCTTTTTAAGGTAACACTTATAACATCTTTTCCATGATTGTGGTTCTCATATTGTACTTTTTAGATGAACTGATGATGCTTTCAGAATGCGAAAGCGAAACGTCTTCAAAATAGATAAAGTAGCCTATCAACTTTGTCTTTTATTTCTCCACCCATCACTCTTCTAAGTGATCCTTATAATATATATATATATATATATATATATATATATATATATATATATATATATATATAGCAAAACTGGTAGGATTATCGACCGAAACGTAAATAACAATTTATTGTTTTGGAGTATCAGGTATGCCGTCTATTATTAAAAAAAAAACTCTTTTTTCTTTTATGACTCTATATTTCGCTGATTTTTGTCAGCTTCTTCAGGAGATAACTAAAATATGGTTAAAATTTTATATACATAACAGGTGATAATAAACAATGAATTTACTTACAGATTAAGAGTTAAAATATTTAAAAATCTTGTACATAATATATTCAAAACAGTACTGACAGTATTAGTCAAAAGCATCTGGTCACTAGTAATTAAATATAACAAAAAAAAAAAAATATATATATATATATATATATAATAAATACAAAACAAAAGCAACCAAGAAACAATAAAAACACAATAAAATTACACATTAAAAATATACAGGGTGATTTAAAATATAATTGTAAAAAGAAAAATTATTTGAACATACTAAGAATATTACAGTAGATATTGCTCAACTGTCCCGTATCTGCCTTATAATTAACTGCATATTTTTCTTTATTAATGTGACACATTTCTAAAAAACAATCTTTTTTTGTAATTGTTCTCTTGTTGTAGAACCCTGACATTTGAGTAGTCAAATTGATGCCCAGTTTTTAGGTAATGGTCAACTGCCGCACATGTATTCTTCTTTTTTGTGCAGTCACTTTTGTGTTGTGTGACCCGTTGTTTTAGCCATTGAGAAGTTTGGCCAACATAACAGCTCTGACAATCCAAACAAGGCAGTTTATAGATGACATTAGTTTTATTTACAGTTAATGTTTTGTCTTTTACTTTAGAAAACAGTTGTCGGTTTTCTAATACATTATATTGGACAATTTTGATGTTACTAAATTTTTAAATAAACTAGTCACAGAAGGTGTTAACTGTTTTATTAATGGTAATTTTTTATATTGGATTGTTTGTACTGCTCCGATATCAGTGGGACCGTCAAAAATGTCTGAGTTAAATATTAATTTTTAAGGTATCCATGTTTTGGGTAAATCCATGTTGGTAATGTTTTGGGTATCCATTATTTTCAAAAATGTTTAAAAGCAAATTTAAGTTTCTGTTTATGAATTTTTCATCACTAATATGCCTTACCCTATTCTTCATTGCAATCACTGTATTAAATTAATATCCCAAAACATATCCTTAAAAAATTAATATTTAACTCAGACATTTTTGACGGTCCCACTGATATCGGAGCAGTACAAACAATCCAATATAAAAAATTACCATTAATAAAACAGTTAACACCTTCTGTGACTAGTTTATTTAAACAATTTACTAACATCAAAATTGTCCAATATAATGTATTAGAAAACCGACAACTGTTTTCTAAAGTAAAAGACAAGACATTAACTGTAAATAAAACTAATGTCATCTATAAACTGCCTTGTTTGGATTGTCAGAGCTGTTATGTTGGCCAAACTTCTCAATGGCTAAAACAACGGGTCACACAACACAAAAGTGACTGCACAAAAAAGAAGAATACATGTGCGGCAGTTGACCATTACCTAAAAACTGGGCATCAATTTGACTACTCAAATGTCAGGGTTCTACAACAAGAGAACAATTACAAAAAAAGATTGTTTTTAGGAATGTGTCACATTAATAAAGAAAAATATGCAGTTAATTATAAGGCAGATACGGGACAGTTGAGCAATATCTACTGTAATATTCTTAGTATGTTCAAATAATTTTTCTTTTTACAATTATATTTTAAATCACCCTGTATATTTTTAATGTGTAATTTTATTGTGTTTTATTGTTTCTTGGTTGTTTTTGTTTTGTATTTATTATATTTTTTTTTGTTATATTTAATTACTAGTGACAAGATGCTTTTGACTAATACTGTCAGTACTGTTTTGAATATATTATGTTCAAGATTTTTAAATATTTTAACTCTTAATCTGTAAGTAAATTCATTGTTTATTATCACCTGTTATGTATATAAAATTTTAACCATATTTTAGTTATATCCTGAAGAAGCTGACAAAAATCAGCGAAATATAGAGTCATAAAAGAAAAAAGAGTTTTTTTTTTAATAACAGACCGCATACCTGATACTCCAAAACAATAAATTGTTTATATATATATATATATATATATATATATATATATATATAAAACCTAGAGCTAAGATTATTATTATTACTAAAATTAATATCAAACTCACCAGTCTTCCAGGTTGAACCGCGTCGATATCCATTTTGCCATATATATATATATATATATATATATATTATATATATATATATATATATATATATATATATATCTATATATATTATAGCTCATAGCTATAGTTAAATCTGTAATGTACCTATTGTTATTATTTTTATAGTAAAACACTGGTATTATAAGATTATATCAGCTTATTTTATTTTACACAATTTTATAGGATATAAGTTACAATGTAGTTCATCTTAAAAAAATGGATTATATCAGGGCAAGATTATATTTTTTAGTAGTAATTTTTTGTTTTGTTTGTTACAGGAAAGGAGGCTTGTTGCTGAACAACGTCTTGGGTATAACCGGAGGGTGCCTAATGTGGTGTACAAAAATAGCGAAATCCTACGAAATGCTATTTGTAGGAAGATTTATTATAGGGGTCAATTGTGGTGAGTTATTTTGTCATTAGGAAAATCATTATTTTCGTTCTTTTAAAGAAAAAGTACATTCAAACTAACAAAAAAATTCTCCATTAAACCTTGTAAATAAAAAATGTTTTAACTACGAACCAGAGATTTATCTATCTGTAGTTCGTAGTTTTTATTATACGAAGATTAGCAATAAGAGTCTTCAGTGTAAAAAGTTATTTTTTTATGAATGGAAAATAAGATTTATCAGCTTATATTTACTTTTTCGTACACTGGATGCTAGTGCTCTTAATTGTTACGAGAAACCTTCTTTATTTTTAATTACATAATTATATTTATAAAATAATAATTATTCTTAAATATATTCGAAAATTTGTTATTTTTATAATATACAGGATGGGCAATGTTATAAGAAAGCAGATCTGAACTAGCATGCTATCAACATAAATGGAGAGAATCTCAGTAATTTGAGATTTGCAGATGATATCGTCCTTATAGCCGATAATATGGATGATGCAATAATAATGTTTGAAAAATTATATCACGCTTCCTTTTAGGTAGGACTAAGGATTAATATTGCTTATGATGGAAGGGATATTGTGCAGACTACATAGTATAAGTACCTAGGACATGAAATTCGGTTGGGCAGAGATAACCAGACATGTGAGCTACCACGTTGCATAGGATTAGCCTGGGCAGCGTTTGGTTAATTAAACTATGTATTTAAATCGCATCAACCATATGCCTCAAAAGGAAAATCTTTAACCAATGTGTGTTATCTGTACTCATTTATATAGCGGAAATATTAACACTCACAAAAAAGGTAGTGAATAAGATTCGCGTGACTCAGAGGGCTATGGGCCGCCGAATGCTGGGTGTCTCTTTGAGGGACCGAATTCCAAACGAAGAAATACGTCGTAGAACAAAAACAACAGACGCCATTGGAAAAATTGCGTCGCTAAAGGGTATTGGGCAGGACACGTCGCCAGATTATCAGACAACCAATGGGCAAAACATATTGTCGAGTGAAGACCAAAGAAGAAGCCATACGAAGCAGAGGACGCCTACCATACGAAGCAGAGGACGCCTACCATACGACAGTTGCAAAGAGCTGAAGGAGACCTGTCCAGCAGCCGACGCATACAGGTTAGGTGAGGTAACCGATGAGCGATAGACAAATTGGCAGATAGGAGTACGTATAATGCAGAATATCTGGGAACGTACAAAAAAGTAAAAAAAAAAAATAGAATGAAACTGTGCATTGATGGATATCAACCCTTCGACGAGTTGATTGGGGGTGGTTGCCTTCCTTATTGCAACAGTATTTCTTGTTATGGGTGGTTGAGCCACGCTGTCAGATGTTAAGAACTAAATTAATTAGGCAAAAAGCATAGTTATTTTTGGACACAGGTTTCGTTTCGTATTTTCTGGGTATATCTTGCGTTTTAAGTGAAATAAAAATATATTTTTCTGGCTTTATGTTGATAATACCAATTGTATTAGAAGGAATTATTATTCCAAAATGAAAACAACAATACAAATATATGAACAACAAAAAAAAAATTAAAACGGAGAAAAAAGACAAAAACCGTAACACGACAGCTCGATTGAAGAGGACGAAGAAGAGCAACATAAAATTGAAAAAGCTTTAGACACGTGTATAATAAAGTAAGTACAATATTAACGAACATTAATAAATTACTGAACCACATAAGGCAGGAAATTAAAGTAGATATCCTGGAAAGTAAAACAGAAATTAAAGATAAAATCAAGAATATGGACAACGAACTGGAACATATAAAGCAAAAACTTAAGCAAAACAAAGCACAAACAGAAAATTTAAAAAAAAAGTAGAAAAGAAAGAACAAAAATGGCAGAAAGAAAACGAAGAACTTAAAAAACAATAATACCAATGGAAAATAGATTAGATAAGATTGGTAAAGAAAAAATAAGCAATAAATTAATCATATTAGGAGTAAAGGCAGACCTAAAGATGAAGAGAGACTAAGAGAAGGCATACAAAATATAATAGAAAAAAGCTTAAACTTAAAATATACTTTAAAAGTGTGTTTGGGATAGGATACGAAAAATGTATAATAGAATCAAAGAACTTAAAAGAGAAACAGAAAATACTGCAAGAAAAAGGTAAACTCAGCTATTCAAGAGACGGTAGATCAATTATACAGAATAAAAAGAAAAATTCAAAAATAAAGAAAGGGAATGACAAAAAACATTGGAAAATGAAATGTGAGAACGCTGCTGCAAAAAAAAATTAAGAACTAGAGATACAGTTACAACTCACAATAGATACTGCAGGAATTCAGGAAACCAAATGAATGGTGGGGGAACATTGAAAAATCGAAAAGTAATAAATGAAAGAATATCGTACATAAGAGTACACAGTAAACCGAACAAGTTGTTCATAATTAATGTCTTTGCACCCATAGAAAACAGTGATGACACTTGACAAAACAACAATTCTATAAAACAAAGAAAACCCCAAAAAAATCCTGGGAGAAGATATACTAATCATTATAGGAGATGTTAACGCCCAAATAGAAAATATTTACGCATGTTTTGCGTTACGTAACTTTGAAAAACTGTATCTTGCTTAAAATTATTTCTAGAGCCTTCTACTGTAGATCATTTTAAAGGTAATTAGTATTTATTTATTAGTAACATACCATTTTATATACTTAACAATGCGTAGACAAAAGTTGCGTAAAAAATGACGAAAAAGTAGGAAAAAAGTCCCAAAAATGGTGTTAGTGACAAATTTTAAAAAATGGTATCTTGGATAGGTACTTTGAATCTTAAAAATTTCTACCAAATGCAATATTAAGATTTAGATAGAAAATTTTAGTTTGAACAAAATTTCTGTAGATGTATATGTATGAAAAGTGCATCGAATTTACCCTAATGCAGCCTAGTGCTTAGGGACACATTCACTTCTTTTTAAAAAATGCACCCCTTTAAATGGTAGCACTCCACCGTTTGTCTATATTTAAAGGTCCATTGACCGATGGTCCATATAAAATAATAAAACCCCTTTAATGTTGTAATTATTTGCTAAAAAACATAATCAATAGCAGACTATATGAGGACCCTAGAAGTAAAGGGGTATAAGTGACATTTGTGTAAATATTGAGATAACTGCATTGCCGAACTGGAAATCTTTCATTAAATTTGGAGGTAAAGAAATCTAAGCGATAAGTCTAACAGGTGCTGCGTTCTAGCGGCAAGTTACTTAACCTCCAAGCCAACTACGAGTAGTAGCCAACTACGAGTAGGGCTTGGAAGAGAAAAGGTACAAGTGTACTTTTAACCCCGTTTCACTGTGTGAGACTGTTAGTTGAGTTTGTTATTATTTTGAATGGATAGTAATATTACAGCTCCTCTAAAGCAATATTACTTTATTGTTATAGTAATACTTTATTGTAAACTGCAGTGTTTTTAAGAAGAGTTCGTTTTTTTAAGCTTTAAAGGACATGGATGTACGTAACCTAATTTCTGAAAAAAAACGTAACATAATTTCTGAAAGGGCAATTGAAATAATGAAAGAGAATATTAATAAATTGCCTAGATACACAAACCACTACACTAGAAATAAGACTCAGAATATGAGCTATCTTCCTTAGGAGTGTCAATTTGAAAATAATGTACAAACTTACTGTGATTTCCGTAAGGAGAAAAAACAGGAAAAACATGTAAAGGAAAGCTTTTACAGGAATATTTTTAACACTCAGTTCAACCTTAGTGTCAAAAGGCTTAGTACAGACACCTGTGACAAATTTCAGATAAAAATAAATCACAGTTGGGCAGAAGAAAAGTTTTAACCCAGAGAGAAAAAGACTTACACTTGCGTAAGGCGGAAGTCATACGAACAGCAAAAAATGAGTGTCATGAACTAAAGAATGCTAGCAAAGTTGGGATCATCTTCGACTTGCAAAAAACTATGCCAATTCCTAATGTGTCAACTTCGCATAGCATTTAAGACAACTATGGACGTATAACTTTGGTGTCCATAACCTACAGACTGAAACGACCCATTTCTTTATGTGGCACGAAGGTCAGGCGTCTCGTGACTGTCAGGAAATATCTTGTTCCATAAAAGATATAGAAGCCTCCCCCATCTGTGCTATTATGGCACCCTCACCCTTCCAGGCAAAAACGTCGATGACCATCTGTACAACCTCTATCAGGAAATTCCCTGTGTAGGTGTGTTAGCTGATGTAGTACGAAAGGCTGTTTCAGAGGCCTACGTGTCAAGTTTAAACATTGGCGCAAATAATAGGGTAAACCAAAACCTATTAGGTTACCGCCCCCTCGGGCGCCCAAAAGCTAAAAATCTAGTTTTCTCTAATGGAGTAGGACCCGCTGAATTCTAGTGCAACCCATCCGATACTGGCTTCAACTTCGACTTTCTGAATGTCATTTCCACCATATTGAGCACAAACAAGGCGTTTAAAATATCTGACGTGTTCAGTACCCTGAGTGAAACAGGCGCTATATCGTAAACCGTAATATCCCGTCCCTTAGTTCAGACCCAGCGTCAAAACGTTCAAAGTGAGACGCGCCCTACCTCTTTAACTTGAGAGGACCCAGCTCGATAATACTTAACTCCGAACTAATCAAGACTAAAGTTAACAATGTAGACACCACTTGGTGCTGCATCGGTTTTGCATTTAGTGACAAATGTAAAGGCCAAAACAAGAGTCATCTGACAGTCAAATTTTGGATCTTAATTGTAAGAGACACTAATATTCAAACAGTAGATCATCGCTTGTTTATAAAAGGCCATTCTTATAATGAGTGTAACCAAAACTTTGGTTTGATAGAGTTCAAAAAGAAAAGATCCAAAAAGGACCTGTATGTACCTCAATATTGGATGAAGCTGGCCACTTTCTATAAGTAGAAAAGTCTTTAGAGTACAGATGAAAAATGACGATTTTTTAGACTTCCACACACTTGCGCCATACTTCAAGAAGAGCGTAAACGGAATACAGAGTATGCAATGGTTACATTTTTAGCAGGGCAAACCTTTTACCCCGTTTTACAAGAAAACAGCTAAAGGTAGCATAGAAGAGTTTAGTAAGCTATCTATGAGACTTACTCGAGCTGCTAAAAATTCTGTCCTGCGAGATCTCTTGAAAGTACCGATTGACATAAGGCCTCTCATTGAGCAAGCTAAATATTCAAATCTTCAACAGTTACTCAACTAAGTACCTACAATTTACCATGAGTTCTTCACAATTCTGCGACATGATGGTCAACAAGCGGAGAACTAGCAAACTCAGAAGAAGCAGAAGTCGAACATGACGATTTGGATCAACATTACGACACATATTGACTAAGCATAATTTAACTATATATTAGTGTTATGATAAGGAATAAATTTGTACAAAAATTTTATGATCTATTTACATTTTTACCTTTATATTGCATTTCTTAGAAGTAAAGGGGTACAAGTGCTACCAACAACCTAAAAATAGCTCCAAAATAAGTAAAGTCAATCAAATTCTGAGTTTTTGTTACAAATAATAATAATAATGCCCACAGTTACTAAACCGGAGAAGAAAAACTAGCATTAAATGATCATGGCAATTACAGTGAAGGCTCAACTTTGAACGGCGTTTACTCAAAATTTACTTTTTGTCACTTATACCCCTTTACTTCTATGGTCCTCATATTATGTTGCAGTTACAAAATACGATGTAATATCCCTATAAAAATTAAAAATATGACTTAGCTGAAAGCAGTTTTAATATAAAATATAAGCAAAATGTAAAATCAATACTACATTATGGAAAGTTCAACGGGTCGCATATAGTACACATATGACATTTTAATAATTGTCAAGGGTATTCGTACGTGTCCTTTTCTATTTTAAAAATAAAAATGGTTAGAGTAATATAAAAATTTTTATCGTACCTTTTATAAAGGTTGACTGATTTGTTTTTATATTTGTAGTTGTAGTAACTTGTTTCCTAAAAAACTAATGTAACCAAATAAAGCTGTTACATATGTGCAACGCTTTTAACCCTTCAGTAGTGGAATTTTTGAAAATTAGTAGTAGCGGGCGATCGAAACGATCGTTGGTCTTTTACTTCTTAGTTTGTGTTAATAAAAGTATTTGGAACCAGTTTAAGTAAAACACGATTTTATTAAGGTTTAATAAGTAGAGTAACATATTACAAAATAATATAAAAGTAAACGAATTTTAAAAACAATAGACAGAACATTTAAAAAACTATTCCGATAAAAAAAGGAAACTTCTAGTTATTTCGAATCAGTTCAGTCTGGTACTCTTCGCATACTGCATGTGTATGTTCTCTGCATAAAAACTTTTTACATTTACAGCAGGAAACAGTCGTTTTCCGGTTGTTTTACGGTCGCAAAAGTAGCATCTACCATTCTAGTACTCCTTCATTCGTTGAAGTGCCGTCTGTGTTAGTGCCGGAATATTACATGGCCTTAATACGTAACTTCAGATCTCTATTTAAATTGCCTACTGTTGCTCGGATCCGTAGATGTTCATCCATAAGAGAAAATGCTAAATGCTTCAAAAATTTTCTTCTAAGCATTTTATTATCCATCAAGGTTGTTACTTGCATGAATCACTAGGGAATTATTGCCTGCGATATTTAGTATGGTGTTAAAAATTATCATGGGCCAACGTCTTGTTTTTCGCGAAACATTATAAGAGGAGCATAGCTGATCAACGACGTCCACCCCGCCTTTTGTTTTGTTATAAAACGTCAGAATTTTTGATTTATAATGTTCAAATGTTTCTCTATCTATAGCGTCGTCATCATGTAGACTTGAAACAAGCAATACAACTTTCTTCTTTTTGGGGATATACGACATTAAAATACATGTATAGCTAAAGGCGAACATACTTAATTTTAGAGGACGAGATCCTTGAAGTAATTCAGGGGGCAGTTCTCTTTTGTTCTTACTAATGGTTCCCACAACACTCAATCCAAATTATTTTTTTAAAACATTTATTAAATAAATGCTAATGAACCAATTATCTAGAGTAATGTTGCGCCCAGAATTCTTAATTGGCGCAACTTCTTTCGGGGAATTGTCTACAGTAAATGGGCCATCTGGTTGATGACCCACATAAACCTCCATATTAATGGTATAATACATATCAGCATCACATTAACTAAAAATTTTGAGCCCATACTTTAAGGGTTTGCATGGAATATATTGTATGCAAGGGCAATTCCCTAAAAATCCAGGAAGCATTTCATCGCATGTTAAATTATACGAAGAGTTATATCCCGATTTACACTTTTCTACGAATTTGTCAAAAAATACTCGGATTGCGGCCATCTTATCCAGTCTTCTACGTTCTTCATGATCGACCTTATCATCAAATCTAATGCATCTTAGAAGAAACCGAAATCGGGATAGGGACATAACTAGTCTAAATATTTCGATACCTTCGCCATTAGTTTGCCAGATATCTTTTGTATTCAGGTGATGGGCTTTATATGTCCCTCCAAATATAAAAGGCCTATAAGAGTGTGAATTTTAGATGGGTTTGTAAGATTTGCATCCCTCTCCCGAGAGAAATTGCTTGCTATACTTTCAATGTATTTATTAGTGGATTCTACAATTATGTAAGTCATGTCCTCATCAATGAAATAACTCCATATTTCATAAATGTCTTGCAACTTTCTCGTAAATCTATAAGGCTCAGGTGATTGTTTTTACTAAATTAGGCTTTCTCATACGTACCCTTTTGTTTTTTCTTTGATGCTTTCTTCACACTGTACCATCTTCTCCCCTAAAAACACTTTCTTCTTGTACATTCAAAAAGGTTACTAATCAATCAGACAAAAGTCTATAATATATATAGTCTATAAAGTCTATAATAGTATATTATTTAAAAAAAAAACTAGCGTTTATACATACCTTAAGGTGATAAGAAACACAATAAAACGATTTATAAAAACTTTTTAGCTGACTAGACGCGCGCGAAAATTATGACATTTGCGCTGTAACTCCTAATCAACAAACCTCCCGCTACTCTGATTTAGTAATGAGGCTTCTTGTATCGAATGAGTAAGCTACTGAAGGCGGTGGTTGCCAAATGTAATTTTTTTCCGAAATATTAGCAATTTTTAATACGTGCGGTCTTTTTGACCATGTAGCGACTAGTTAAGGGTTAAAATCTATATTTCCATTTTCTTTAGCTTATTTAATATCTTAATATTTATTCATTATAGTAATATTTCCTAGTAGGTGGACTGCAAAGTATTCCTTAATCTTTTCGGCGTCTCTCCTTGTATGAGCTTTCCAACTCTCTTGTTCCCTAGCGAAACTATTATCGGTAGTTGGTATTCCTCCATTCTTCGTATCTGACTATACCATTGACACTTTGTTACCCCTCTAAAGATATCTTATACCAATATTGTGTTCTCATTTTTTCTGTGTTTTTAATAAATAAATAGTCCATTCCCAATGTTCTGTACTTGCCGTAAATATATAAAAATATATAAAACTTGTTATATCTAATTATATTTGTTATAATTATAAATTTTCTTTTTACAGGGCTGAATACTTCCCTCGTACCAATGTATATATCGGAAATATCACCTTTAAATCTTCGAGGCGGCCTTGGTACCGTTAACCAACTCGCTGTTACAATCGGTCTTCTACTATCGCAAGTCTTAGGTATAGAACAAATATTAGGAACCAACGAAGGGTGGCCGCTTCTACTAGGTCTCGCTGTGGTACCAGCAGTGTTACAACTGGTAAGTTTTCTTATAATAATATATAGCCAAATAAGATTCATAAATATATGTTATTGTAAATTAAGATTGGATGATTCTCGGTTAAATATTACACCTACTTAATAAAAAGATGTCAATTTTGATAAGAATTTCGTCTTTAAAGTTAAGCATACTTTGAAGTTGTATCGTATGAACACATTCTTTTCGTATATTTTCAGTGCACACCCTAAAACCGTTTAATATCTTATGCAATTAGTGTTCATTGTTCTATTTTGGTGACATTTATGTAAAATTAATTTTTATCTTTTACAAGATTCTCTTCAGACTCGCAAACCGCGTCGTCGTCACAATTATGTCACAATTAATTTCGATTTTTATTCCAATTGTTATTTTATATAGGTCCTACTTCCTGTGTGTCCCGAAAGTCCCCGTTATCTTCTTATAACTAAACAATGGGAAGAGGAGGCGCGAAAAGCATTAAGAAGGTTGAGGGCTAGCAACGCAGTAGAGGAAGATATCGAAGAGATGCGGGCGGAAGAAAGAGCCCAACAATCAGAGGCGTCTATCAGCATGATGGAATTGATATTCTCCCCAACGCTGAGGGCTCCACTCATTATTGGTATTGTCATGCAGTTAAGTCAACAATTTTCTGGTATCAACGCGGTAAGTATATTTACCTATTTTGTGTATATTTAGGTATCTATTAAAAATAAAAATAAATATTTTTTTATCTTCTGCATGCTTCTGGATGCATTTGATGATAGTTACTGCAAAAAATGTGTATTATAATTATTATAGTTATATTTTTGTCATATCAATTTTAAGCAAAGAAATGTTAATGTTAAAGTCACGAAGATAAGCGTTGCAGAATTATAAGAAGAATATTTATATATATATTATATATATATATATATATATATATATATATATATATATATATATACATACATGTATATATATATATATATATATATGTATATATATATACATATATATATATATATATATATATATATATATATATATATATATATATAGCATTTAGTATATCATTTGATCATTGTTAAACTTTCGATCCAATTTCTTTGGTGCAGTTTATCTTCAATAATTTTGGTATATCATTCATAACATACCTATTATTAAGGATATTTAATATTAATATCCTTAATGGATATTAATGTCAACGTCAATTCTTTGAAGAGACAGACAGACGAAAAGAAGAAGAATTGACAGTTGACGTTTGACAGGTGACAGACGAAAAGAAGAAGAATTGACAGTTGACGTTTGACAGGTGACCTGTCAGCCGCCATCTTATGACGTCAGAGTGGGCTGAAGTATTTACCTATCTACTTAAACGTTAAAAAAATGTTTTTTTTTTTTTGGTTTGTACCATTTATGGCACATGATGCGATAAAAGCTTAAGTACAGATCCCTAAAGAAGCACTTACACTATGTACATAAACTTTATCATTGTAGTGGCAGCCGTAGTTCAGTGGCTATGTTACTAGCTTAACAAGCTGGAGGGCCCGGGTTCGAACCCCGGCACCGACAAATTTTTTAATTTCTAATTTAACTGAGCTGCCACCGTGCTTCGGAGGGCACGTAAAGCCGTCGGTCCCGGCTACGAAAGTAGTCGCTAAGTCACGTTAGGGGCGCTTGCGCGACCTGAAAACCCTAACACTAGACCTTAGCCAAAAGGTTACACGAAATTTACTTTATCATTTTAAAACCATAAACTAAACTCAGAAATTTTAATCAATACTAACAATTTCTTACTTTTTAGGTGTTTTATTACTCTACTAGTTTATTCGTTAGCTCCGGTCTACCAGAGGAAAGTGCCAAGTTCGCAACCATCGGTATTGGTTGCATCATGGTCGTTATGACACTAATATCCATACCACTCATGGACAGAATGGGAAGAAGAACGTTGCACCTGTACGGCTTAGGAGGAATGTTCATCTTCTCTATATTTATTACCATTTCATTTTTGATAAAGGTTCGTAAACTGTTGCCTATACGCAAGACAAAGTCTTTTGTTAATGGAGGATTAGATGCTTCTAATTTTACATTCTTTGTAGGATAAAAAATATTATAACACATTTATATATTTAAAAAGGAATTGAATGCACTAGTATGTCAAAGTATAACATGTATTGCGTTTTAAAAAATTACTGGGCTACAGAAAAAGAAGCCTGCCTGTCAATTATTTTTGATTATAAACAAAAATATTCGTTCTTTAAAGTGCACGTATAAAATTCGGAACAACATTGTTTAATATATTTAAAATATTTAAAATTTATAAAAAAATATTTAAAATACTTCTTCTTGGTAAAAGATAAGGATGTCTATATTTGGAGTAGCTCAAAATGGATACTAGAGGTACTGGATGTAAAGGTTATAAGAATAATAGTTAACAAAGAATAGTATGAGAAACCAGAACATATTTAATAAAAGCTGTTCTTTAAGGATTCGTGCTATTAATTGAATTATTTAACTTATTTTTAACACAAATTTTAATGGCAGAATTTTAATAATAGAACATACCAGAGAGGTATTGAGGTACAGGAGACACTACAAATAATTACGAATAATCCAAAAGGAGTACAAGCACTTATTTACAAAGTTACGTGGGCTTAGAAAGCGCTCTCAGATTAAATTTTAAAAATACGCAGTGTTTTATTATAAAAGTAAAACATATAATCCACACCTCGGTACGAACGTCAATGAAAATTTAAACCATTTCCTAGATACAAAATCTAGGAGAATAGAAAGCAAGACCTGTGTTTGGCTAAGCTAAAAAATGGCTAAGCTATTCAAATGCCACGATTTATCAGTAACCATAAAAATCGGGTTACTACGATGTTATAACTTTCCTATACTGTTGTACGGAGTTGAGTCGTGGACTCTCACAGACGCTACCTGTAAGACAATTGAGGATATCGAAATGTGGGTTTAATTGCTAGTCATAATTTTGGTTTATTCTTCTCAGAATAGTCAATTTTTGATTATATTGTCACTTAAAAACTAAATACACAATTCACATCGTAATGCATGTAATATAAATGATATCTTCAAATTATATACGATTTTGAGGAATATGCGCTTTTAATTTGGATATAAGATTATTTTTTCTATCTAAAGTTACACCGCGACATGCATAACGAATCTGGGGACTTTGGAGGATTTGGGTTAAGCATGCCCTTAACGTATCTCATTATAAAAATACCTTTTACATCAATATAATCGTTTTCAAATTCTGTTTAGTAAAAAAAGAAATAATTTCTTCTCTAAAATGAAGAAAAACCATTTCTTTTAAGTGAACGCGAGAACTCAGCTTTTGTAACTTATATTTGAAGTATCACGTTTCGAAATGAAACTTTTGTTATTCCAGAGCAAGATTTTATATCAATATCCAAACAAACTTCTTTATCACATCACCTGAATCTGGATGTAGAAAATTTATTTGTATCTGTTGTATCTCCAGAAGCTCAAGAAAAGCTTCTGGAGATACTAGAGAAAAAATCGTCATTAACCAAACCAATTTTTTCAACATAAACCAAAGGTTTAGAAATTTTATCACCTAATAAAACTATATCCACTAGCAGATTTTTCTTTGGCTATAATTTTTTTGTTGCAAGTGTCAACATTCAACTCAAAATAATTAATATGAAATTTATGCCCAAATGCGACATAAAACTACCAAAAATGAATATATCATACTATAATCAGAAAATCTACAAGAATACTAAATTCCTGTGGTTGGCTGTGATCAAAAAAACGTAAAAAACGTTTTCCGAATAACTATTCCATCATCAGTTCTATCCTAAAAACTACAACCACTATAATTAAATAAAAAGTCAAAGTTAAAATTTTGACCAAGGTATAACAAAAAGTGTGGTTTTACTTCCTGGATATACATTTGAAGCCACTAAATACATGGGCCAATTGAAACCTCAATACTCCGGGAGTATTGGATTTTAGGAAGAGTAGAACTTACAATTTCAGAAGAACTGAAAGAGAAGTGATGAAAAAAAAAATACTAAAAATGGGGCTAAGCTCAGAGGAACAAAATTAAATGGCCAAAGAGACACTAAATCTCATGTGAGTGCTCGGGCTAGCTTCAATGCACTGAATTGTGGCTTTAAATATATAAAGCAGATAGCAAGGATAATGAGCTAATGAGACAAGAAACGAAATGAGATCTGATAATATCAAATGTGATACAACTAAAGAAGGTCACTGGGAATAAATTTATAGAAAAAGGACGATAAGAAGAGAAGAAGAAGGGCACCAACTCAACGATAGTTGAGATTTTGAAGTAACAAATGACTGGAAACAACTGATTCTGAAGATAATAACCTGAAATACAAAATACTAAATACTAATCTTGTCTTGCTATATTATATACTAGTTAGTAGAAACTGAAATAAAACTCAAAAAGTAACAATAAATATATGGATGGAAAATTTTTAAATAACCTTAAATTTGCAGATGATATCGTTCTTATTGCAGACAGCTTTGATCAGGCACAGATAATGCTCCAAGAACTCCATACTGCCACAAAAAGAGTTGGTCTTAAAATAAATTTTTCAAAAACACAATTCATGACAAATTTAGTCCACAACAAAAACATCTCAGTAGAAGACAAAGATATTGAGCCAGTTGACTCCTATAAATACTTAGGCTATGAGATCAGAATAAGTCGAGACAACCAAACAATCGAGCTGAAAAGAAGAATAAACCTCGCTTGGGCTGCATTTGGAAGGATGAAGGATATTTTTAGGTCTAAGATTCCAATGTGTCTGAAAAGAAAAGTATTTAATCAATGTATTTTGCCAGTGATGACCTACGGCGCAGAAACCCTAACGCTCACAAGAACAACAGTGAATAAACTACAAGTTGCGGAAAGACCAATGGAGAGAATTATGTTAGGGATTTCTCTACGTGATAGAATACCCAATGCTACTATACGCAAAAGATCAGGAGTAGCAGACGTTATTGAATTGATAACAACACTAAAGTGGAACTGGGCAGGTCATGTAGCAAGATCAGTTGATGACCGGTGGACAAAAAGAATTTTGGAATGGAGACTCCGAATACAAGCTTACAGAAATAGAGGTCGACCCCCAACGAGATGGACAGATGACATAAAAAGAGTAACTACAAATTGGATTCAGATGGCGCTAAATCGGACTAAGTGAAAAAGCATGCGAGAGGCCTATGTTCAGCAGTGGACGTTAGAGGCTAGTTGATGATGATGATGAAATACATGGGTCAAAACCCTTTAAATGTTATCTGATTAACTTTGAGTTACATTTTTGATAATTAAAAATTAGGTAGTTTAAGTTACAATTGTAAAAGGGAAACAGAGGAATAGATTACATGGCAACATAAGACTCCACTAGAGTTGATAGTCCTTAGACGAAATGCCTGGGAGACTGCCATTTACCTTAAAAAAAATTTACAACTCTTTGATAGTAAACCTTGTATGTGCTTACAGGATAAAAAAATTATTTTTTTTTAATTTTAAGTTTGATATATTTTATGATACCATAAAATGTTTTTATTGCATTGTTTCATAGTATTATAATTTCATATTCTAACACGAACAAGTTATGTAAAATGAATAGCATATAGTCCTCCAAATGAAAGCAAAAATACCTCAATAAAACATTATTGTAATATACGAGATTGTATACACACTATAATTATATATATATATATATAGGTAAAAAAATAAAGTATTAATATTTATTTAAAAAAAAATGTGTGATATAAAACCAGCTAATTTAAAATTAGGAAACTCAATGCAAACGTGCTCTTTCTAATTTTCTTCATGTCAATCCGCAGTTCATTGTGTCTAATGTAATGTGTACAGAATGTAATAAGGTTTTGAATAGTATTTTGTAATAATATACTGCTAATGAAATAAAATTGAAATATTTTCCTAATCGCCTCACGAAAAGTTTTAATGATACAGTATTGCAACTCTGTTATGTCCAACAATCAACTTAATTCAGATTTAGATTTATGCGCCAACTGCTAACAAAAATGTAGAAGGAATAAAATACTTTTATAGCGAACTTCAAAAAACATTACATCTCACAGCATCTAGAGATATAACAGTGATCATGGGTGATTTCAATGTAAAAATTGGCGAAAGAAAATGCTACCCTAATGAAGGACCATATGGGCTTGGTGAACGAAACAACAGAGGAGATCGCCTAATAGAATTTTGCCAGGAGCATAATGTTATAGCCCCAAATATATTTATTAAATTACCTAAGCGACGCCTTTAGACATGGAAATCGCCAGCTGACCAAGATAACAAAATCGTCAGAAATCAAAGTGACTTCATCCTAATAAAACACAGATATTGAAATTTAATGCAGACAGTAAAAGCATATCCAGAAGCAGACGTATCCTCTGCTCACAGTATTCTTCTTGCTAGGTTTCAACTTCAACTAAAAAAGACGCAAAAAAGCCGCAACAACAATAAACTTAACATACAGAAACTAAAGTCAGAAGAAACAAAAGAAAATCTGAAACACGAAATCGACACAAATCTAGATAAAAACCCAAGAAATAATTGCAACGTAGAACAGCAGTGGCAATTCTTTAAAACCTCTATATTGAAGTCAAGTAAGAAAGTACTCACAACAACCAAATGTAAGAAAAAGAAGTGGATCGCCGAGGAAATTCTAGAGCTGATAAATGAAAGGAGAAAAAACAAAACCATCAGTACGATCCGTTATAAACAGCTTTAAAACCAAATAAGAAGAAAAATTAGGGAGGCTAAAGAAACCTACTTCTCTGAAAAATGTAAAGAAATAGAAGAACTGCAAAACAGATATGACAACTTTAACCTACATAAAAAAGTCAAAGAACTAGCCGGAGTAGGAAATAGAAGAACCTCAAATATATTGCTTGACAAAAATGGAAATATTATATTGAAGGCAGAACAAAAACTAAGAAGATGGAAAGAGTACATTGAAG